ATCACAGGGTTTGCATTCCAACGCCAACCCCGAGCCCATCTCACATTTGTCCTTGCTTCCTTGCCTAGGCTTTTGCGAGAAGTTCGCATCAAGCCTCTCTTCTTGGAAGGCGGTGTTCGATTCCGACGATCCGGTGCAGGCAAACCCCTGGAACCCTAGGGCCTTAGAAGCCTTGGAGTAAGCCAACAGCGCAAACGCTGAACTCAAGAATCTCTTCTTCGAGCTGGGCCTTGCATGTGTGTGTGTGTGTGTGTGCTGTATGCTGGTTGGACATCTACACCTTGTGCATACACCTACAACCTACAACTTGTGTTGAACTAGACCTGTAACTTCTTAGCTGCTTCTTGGATTGCAGTCAGGGTGCCTGAGGCTACTCCTTCACAGCCTCAGGCTTGCTCACGTCAGGTCTTTGAGAGATGTGGAAGTTGCAAGGGCTTCCTTGAACCCCCTGAAGTATCAGAAAGACAGTGCGAGTCCTCCAAGCTGCCGGTTTTGCCTTGGGGGTGCAAATGCCTTGGTACATCTTGGTAGTCTCTTGCAGCTTCTTGGAGTTTAAGACCATGCCGGAAACTTGGCTCGGAGGAGTCGCAGACTGGTCTTGCCAGTCAGCAATGTCTTGTGTGAGTTCGTAGCGTGATGCAATAGACATGGGAGAAAGCCGCCTGCGGCTTGACGTTCAGAACAGCATCGATGGAGTCATCCACCGAGTTTCAATTTCTGCCAGGAGACGAGTCAAGGATCTCCTTCAGAATGTGATAGACCGAACGGAGTGCCGGGAATTGACAACTCTCGCGGTAGTGAGAGGCGAGACCGAGGCACGTCTTGGACGAGAGGATGTGTTGGGCGAAGCCCTCGACCAGACAGAGACACGGCTCAAGGCCATCGCTGAACCCCTCGAGCTTGCGCGCCATTGCCCACGATCGGAGCCTTTGGCAATTGCAGATCGCACAGGCCGGGAAAAACTTGTGCCAGAATGTCCACACTGGGTTTCATTTTCCGTGGTGCGGGTGACAGTAGGTTCAAGGTTGCCGGCTCGCATGAGGGTATGTGAGGGTCATTCGGGCCACCCCGTACAGATCCAATCCTTTTCACGGGCCTTCTCCCGGTAACCCGCCAGGCGAGCCGACGCATGGAGACAACACAGAGGCCTGTTTCGTGGAGGTCAAGCAGAGCTTTCGGGCCGGCAGTGATGAAGAATTCAGTCTGTCCGTTGCGCGCGGTGAACAGGTGGAAGTTTCCAGGGCGTGTGACCGCGGATGGCGTGCTTGCCGCAAAGGCTCGGTGGTGGGCTGGGCCAGCCGATGCACTTAGCAACTTTTTGTGCCCTACAATGCTTCGGTTTTTGAGTTCATACAAGCACTCTACAAATTCAACTCAACCTATATGGTGTCCTGTATCTCATGGCTAAGGTGCCCGAGTGGGCATTCTTCAGCCCACAGGAGCCCTTGGAGGCTCGGGAGCCCTTGGAGCCACAGGAGGCGGCGGCCAAGGCTAAGGCTTGCGTCAAGCGGATCAAGGCTAAGTCTGGGCAGTTCGTCGACAGCATCGAGATGGAGTTGCGCAGCGGCATCCAGCAGGTCTATGGTGGCTCAGGAGGTGTTGATGCCAGGGAGTTCACTTTAGATCTGGACGAGGCCATCGTCGCAGTCGAGCAGGTCGAGAGTCGCCAGTACTTGGCTCAACATCTCATCTTCACCACGAGCAGTGGTCGAAGGCTTGAAGCCAAGGGCTACGGGGGGCCAGGCAAAGAGCCTCAAAAGCACAAGTTCACGGCACCCGACAAGATGCAAATTTGTGGTCTCGTCTTCAGGGAAAACAAGAAGCTGGCGGGCGTGTGTGTACAGTCACTATTCAAAAGGGGATCGCGTAGGCACCCGCAGCGGCTGAAGAAGGATTTCGAGACGTGTGCCAAGAGCAGCCGGTGAGGACGCCATCTTCGAGACAAAACACGCTTGGTTTGTGAGAAGATGTGGGGTCCCTGCCCCTGCTGTAGGGCCGTAGGGCGTTTCAGGGCTTGAGGGCATTCTAGGGCTTGCAAGGTTGAGGAGTCGTGTGCAGAAGCAGGGCCGCCTCTCGAACCCAAAACTACCCCGTAAGCCTTAGGGAACACAAAAACCACAACCCTCCACGCCCGCGAGGCGGCCATGAGGAAACAATGCAGTGGCAGGATAAGTGGTTTCGCAAGGATAACATTATTCAGGGGCGCATTCAGGGTACCCCGATGTTGGGAGATGCCCAAATATTTAAAGCGGTTCGTTCTGGAAGCCCGCCCGTGGCTTTGTCTACTTGCCAGGCACCCTGGCCCGGTGATATCAAGGAGCAAATGACCCCGATGCAGCAGGTGTCCGTGCATGATGGCCACGCCTAAGGGGCTCAGGGTTTTAAGCTTGGTGGAAATCGTTTTTGAAGGCGCTTGGCGAGGGATTGGAGAGGATTTGGCGCAGATTGGCTTTGATTGTGTCGGTGGTTTTCAATAGCGGCTTTGTCCCGCAAGCGCTCGTGAGTCCGCGAATCGCGAATCCCTCAACCCTGAATCCTCAACCCTGAAACTGCCACCTTGTGTCATGCGTTTGTTGAGTTGAGCAAATGCAATACGCAACCTACTCACACAGATCAGATGATGGTGATGACGGTGGCGATGGTGACATTGACAGTGGCTCGGGCGATGATTGTGACGATGATCATGAGGGTCCATGATGGTGACGGCTATGCTGGTGATGATGATGCTGCTGGCGATGCTGCTTGTCGTTCTGATCGGCATGGACTGGTGTTCATACTAGTGCTTCGGCCATGCTTTGCCGAGTCTTTGGGGCAAGCGCCTGCTTTAGCTAGGTATCCCAGAAGCCATCAGCTCAGAATCCGGAACACATCCGGCAGCTGAAGGCGCTGGTGCTGCTTGCAGTCCGAGCAGACGCCACAGTTCAAGGCCAATCCCTTGCATGACATGGGTTCTACTTCGATTGAATGGTGGGTAAAGAGCACTCGCCCATGCAAGCTGTGTGCAAAGCTCATCCTCCAGGTGCATTTGTTTTAAGAGGGTTTCCTTAATCCGCAAACCCGGCGGCTGAAGAACCTCGGAAGTTTGCGCTGGCGAGTGCCCCTGCAAAGTTGCAGCTGGGCTTGGGTAATCTTCGTGTTTGGGTACAGGGGGTTCAGCAGCTCAGCAGCTTAGCATGATGGTTAAGCCCATCTAAAGCACAACCAAGCCCACAACTCCCAGCACGCTTCACTTGATCCCTTAAGCCAAGAAGCCCGTGAAGCTACACGCCAAAACCCCCCAACAAACTTTCTCTACAACGTCTGCGAGCCTTGCCGTTTCTCGGCCGCAACTTCTTTGTGCCGAATCTCAACCCCGAATAGATGAAACGCGCCTTTGGGTTTTTGGGCGTTGTGAAGTTGGGCAAATATAGAGCTCACGCCCGGAAAAGCCTTATCGCTCTCCCCGAATTGCTTAAGCTATTTCCGACCAAGAATCCAGTTCCTAAACCCTCCACGCAGCCAAGCCTGGAGGTCTGCAGAATATCATCATGGCCAAGCTGGGAGCTGATTTCCTCGAGCCGCCGCCCTTCAACCTCGAGAAGGCCGGGGGATTTTCTTTCTTTTCGAGGGATGCTCTGAGCCCGCGAAAAAAGTTGGGGAATGGCAGGTGCCAAACTTTTGAGTCTTATTTTTTTACCGACACTTACTTCTAAGCCTCACGAGCGTCGAAGTGGCTGAATTAGCGACATGTCTGAGGATCGATGAAGAGAGAGATGGAGAGAACAAGAGTCAGACTGGGTCTTATTTAGGGTGGTACCCCGAAACGAAATCAGAAGCTGCTCACGACCAGGTCTACAGCGACAGCAACAACGTCACGCCGCTCATCTTCGTGCTCTCTTCAGGCACTGGGACCCGAAGCTGTTCTAAGACCAGCGCCAGCCTTACAGTACACCGAGACACCCAGCGCAATCAGGACCCTCACACTCAACCGGAGGTCTGCAACAGGCTCAAACAAAACGTTCTGGCTCATCTCCTGAGTCCCACACCCACAACCCGCTGTTGCAGGAGCCGATCCAATGGCGGAACTCAACCGCCTGGCCATCAAGAACAACATGCGCCCCGGCCTGACCTCAGAATCGCTTAGGTGGTAGCTTAAGAGGGGGGTATGCGACTTTGGAAGTTGATATCCAATCCCGAGCACCTGCAGCCTCACAACTATTTCACCAATGACTCAAAATTGTTTACTCCTGAAACCTGCTGCTTGAGCTCATTGCCAACAACATGGACCACAAAACAAGATGCCATTGAAGCCCACGCTGAACAGCGCCCAGGTTCGAGACGAAGGCGGCCGTGTCCCTGGGCCAGGGACAGGGGCCCAAAGCTGAGTTCGCCATCAGCGAGGGCAAGACGGCTGGTGGCTGGACAAGTTAATTATTAGGCTGTAGGAGCCGATGTCGACATACACAGACACACGCACAGACACGTGCCCACAGACCTGTGCCTGCACCTGCACCTACAGACCTCAAGCAGAAGCAAGAATCGAATTCCGAAGCCAAGGCAACTGGGTTATCCTTCAAAACTGCCACCTGGCAGTCTCCTGGATGCCCATGCTGGAGAAACTGGTGGAGGACCTTGCTTGCAGGGGGCTCAAGTTGCCATGCCTGTCTGGCCGGGTTCTGCACCGTTTTCAGGTTGCAGGCGGAACAAAGAACATCAAAGAACTTTGGAAACAGAAATGAAGCGATTTCTAGGGTGACACACTTCATGCAGGACGTTTGGCATGCAACGTGGAAACAGGCATGTGTTCCAAACGGGCACAACTTAAAATCAGTACCTCAGCACATCTGTCTTGCAGCTCGACCTCCTTCGCGCACAAGAAACGACAGTCAGGAGCTCGACCCTGATGCTGTGGCGCACACCTTCCGTCTGTGGTTGAGTGCCATGTCCCCCGGCTCCTGACGAAGAAGTGCAAAAATTTCGGTGTCAGTCGTTCCAATTCGGGCTTCTGCCGAATCGTAATTAATGAGCAGTCCTCCTCCTGATACTGCGTGGACATCGTACCTGCCTTGCACAACAGGGGACCGACAGGGCCAGACTGCATGTGAGGCCATCTCCCCACTTCCCCGTGAGCGTCTTGCAGAACGGGATGAAGATGACGGTCGAGCCACCGAAAGGCCGGTTAGGGTTTAGGGTTTAGGGTACAGGGTTTAGGGTACAGGGTTTAGGGTTTGGGGTTTAGGGTTTAGGGTTCAGGGTTTAGGGTTTAGGCTGCAGATTTGAGGTAGGCAATATACAAAGATGTTGCGACCCGGCACTCGTATTCCCGAGCATGCCTTAAGGTTGCCACACCTCAATCTCTTCGGATGAAGTTTTCCAGCCACTACTAGTACTATCGTTTGTAGTAGTAGCAGTACTAGCAGTACCAGCAGTGGTAGTCGTGGTGGGGTAGTGGTAGTGGTAGGGGTAGTCGAAGAGGCTACTGGTCCCACAGGCCTCCAGCCTGGGGATTTCCTAAACCAGCCTCCCCTAGGTTAGGACCGAGCCGTTGCACCTTGAACTCATCCTTTTTCTGGGCGTTACACAGACTCAATGTGCCTGCAGTAAACTTGCGAGGCTGCTAGGCAGGTGGCAAAAAATCCCGAAACCTCAACGGAAGCGGGAAGGATTGAAGTCGAATCTCCTCCGTGCCTTTCTCTCCTTCGAGGACGGGGTTTTGGAGGGTAGTGTTTCAGGGTCGAGGTTTAGAGTTTGCTGTTGGTTGCTATGAGATAACGCATTGTGGCGCTTTGGATCCGGCTGTGAAACTAAAACTAAACTAAATATACATGAGGGAAATGGGCCTTTCACTGGCTGAGCAGCGGAGCTTGTCTGTCAACCTTCCTCCGTCTTGCAAAGCAGATCTCCTACATCATGTTAGCTTTAAGCCCACTTAATGCCTCAGCCACTTTCAGGAAGACTGGTTCGAATCGGCGGGCAACACAGATGCTTCGCGCAAGGCCGCCTCTGATTGGTTTTTAGGCTTGGCGGTTGGGAGATGCAGATTCTGCAAAGATAGTTCTGCAGCGGCGCATGTGTCCCGCCGAACTTAGAGAAGAGCCCTCCAGACTATGTGGTTGAACCCTGAAACCCTATACTGCTATGAACCCTTAGATGCCCCAGATTATTGCGCGTCGGAGCCGCAGCTGCAAGGAATCTTAACCTGTCCAGGCACTACCAATGACAGTCAGAGGCGTTTCTCGTGGACACAAGCCTGGCGTTACTTTTCTCAAGGGGTGTTGTGCCTCGCCCAGGCGTTCAGGAAGATGCTCTTCGGCCTGTGCTTCTTCCATGCGCTGATACAGGCAAAGACCCTTACACCAGTTTAGGCTGCTTAGGTGGCGGCCACTTAAGCTTCGAGCTCAAGACGACTCATGGTCGTAGTTTGGCCTTGGGTTTCGGGCGTTTCTCGCGCATAGCGTCTTGTCTTGCGTCCAATGCTGCACACGTTGAACGTGGCAATGCAGTTAAATCAAGGGGGAGTCTTTTTCGAAACAAGTATCTAGAAGGCTTGTGGCTCTGGGGTTTCGTGCCCAACAGAATTCGGAAGCTTTGACCAGGAGCGTTGCAACTATGGACCGCTTGGGTGGAACATCCCCTACCAGCACCTGGACATATTCGGCTTCGTTGGGCACGGGTTGACTAGGGTCTGGGCTTTGCTTCAAGGCGCCTGCGGCCGGATGAACTCATCGTCCTCACACCGCAATACTGCCTATAGAAGCCCTCTTTCAGTTGCAGTTGCACCCTTCAAGTGGACCCTTTCTGTTCAAGTAGGCTCCTGAGCCTAGACCTTAAGCCCGAATCCCGACTCTGGTGAATTCCTCTTCAGGCATAGCGGGTTTTGATGGTGAGTTACGATAGGTTTTTGAGCGGCGGGGTTTTTTGAAGGAGGATCTCCCGAGAGAGGAATCATGAGAAGTTGAGGAATGCTTGGAACCCCCCAGCCATCATCTTTGGAATGGCTTTCATGTCAAGGTTCTCAGAACCTGACCGACAGATCTGTGTGTCGCAGCTGAAGCACCCAATCTGCAAAAGAAAGGTGCAGTTGCAGGGTCGGAGATACACCGTTCGGGCTCTATCTATCGTTTCTTCTGCTCAGGGGGGGCCAAGTGTGCTCCGTCTAAGGAGTTGGGACACTCGAAGGTTCGAGCTCAGTGTTGAGGTGGTCTTGCAACCAAAAAAAGGTCATGAGCCAGAGGCCTAAGACCACCCCTGTCCAATGCTGGCACCCGCCAATGATCAGGGAATGTAGACGAGGGTTGTTGACCCAAGCGATGCAGTCCTCAGAGCCCTGAAAACCAGATCGAGGTTTCTCGATCGAGTGTTCGCTTTTTGGGCTGGCCTTCTGATACTTCACACTTCAGGATGTTCTTGGAGGAGAACGCCGCGATCCCCTATGCGGCTCTTAGCTACACGCACCCTGGCCAATCTCGGGAAAAGTCATGAAGCTGCTTGAGTAGGCAGTGGTTGGGGTGGGTGTCAGCCGGCCATCAGCACTGAGTCACTTTGCTTTGCTTTGCAGGGCTTCAGAAGCCAACTATGGCGGCCGTGTGACAGACGCGCATGATCGGATCACGATCGCCAACCTCATCACAGACTACTACTGTGAGGACATCTTGAAGGAGCTCCGCAGACTCCCGTGTCGCATGGGCTAGCAACATCGAAGTGACACATGCTGTTCAGGCGTCAGGACAAGCCCCCGGAGTTGAGGGAAAAGGGTCATGTTTGAGCGTGATGTTTCGTTTTGCGTGTTGTCTGTCGATGTTGAAGTACTGTAGATGCCACTTCTGCCCACAATCCCTAAACACGAGCTAACTCCTTGCCTTGGACCCTAAACCCTCCAGACTCCCTTGGCCATTTGCAGGACGGCTACAAATTTTCCGAGCCCTTGCCTCAGCAAGCTTCAGCTTCGGGCGTGTTTGAGGTGGGCAACACTTGTGGCGTTAAGGCTACCGGATGCTGGAATCTGAAACCTACAACACCCTAATGTGCCCGACATCGGGACTTCTGTTGGTCCATTGGTCGATCTGTGTCCCTGTCGCCCGAAATCCTGCAGGGGTGTAGGGGATGCACGCACACACCCACATGCCCAAATGCATGCGCGCACTCACAGTTTAACTTTTTGACTCTGAAAAAGCATGTATAAACATGTGTGTGTGTGTGCGTATCATACATACATGTACACACACCTTTGTAGTTGTTTAGATCTTCGACCACATGCACACAAACCATGGTACACATGGAGCCGACATGAAACCCTAAAGCCCTGACAGTGGAGAGCCGGGAGTTCTTCACAAGTTGAGGAGCGGGCCTGACCTCCACGCATCCCATACCATCCCATACCATCCTGCAGCTTTCGACCCCTTGAAACGATGCTTGAGGTCTGGCATCTACTATGCCCCGAAGCACCAACCCTTGTCGGGCTACCTGGAGTACATCCGCTCGCTGCCCATCAACCAGATGCCAGAGGCGCGCAAATTCGGATTCCCTGCATCTTGGGTTGGGGTTCGGCGCCTGGGGCTCGGGTTGGGTGCGGGGGGTCCCATACGTTTGCCCTCTTCTGTCTGACAACCTCGTAGTGGCACCGTGAAGGCTTCCGGGGTTGGGGCCTTGGGACGTGAGCCTGATAGTTGAAAGCCACATGCATCGCCCAACCTCAAGGCAAACCATGGCCGACAACCCTAGTAAGCAAAGAGAAAGGATGGCAGTAAACAATCACAGCATGCCACCATCATTTGTGGCATGACAATATGAGCGGCCGCATGCAGCGCGACTGCAGACTCCAGCGGTTTGTAGTCTTCCTATTTGCCTACCCTGTCACTTCGTTCAGACCTGCTCGGCGATTTTCCGAAAGCGTACGTTGTGGGGGTACGGTTCAACGCCTGCTACAGCTTCATCGAATGACCTTGCGGGGCCATCTCGCTGTTGGACTTTGGTGGCGGTGGTAGAAGCTTTTGGATGGTCTTGCAAGTAACAACCTTTGCTGCCGTGACGTGTGTTGCCCAAAAGCAACGCGTTGCTCGTTTCGAAGCCCCGAGACTGGAATAGACTGAAAGCAAGGTTCCCAAGATCGCAATAAGCAGCTTGATGTCTGAGTTTCCGGCCCGGACGGATTTGCTTGCGATGGCGGTTGACGGATGACTTGACCACGTTTGTGTACTCGCTGGGTGCTGGGTGTATTCACGCATACCATTCTGCTGTTGCAGGTCTTGTTCCCACCACGGTGAACCACCAATTGAAGCCATGCGATTCTTAGCAAGGATGTGAAACCGCAAGATCCCCAGATTCAGTGCGAGAGGAGGAGGGGGCTGGCGCATCATGGCGCATCCCTCAAAACATTATGGCATGACGTCTTCGAAATCTCACGGCGTTGGCTTTGCTCTTGTCATGGAAATGCAGGCTTTCGGCTTGCACGCCAATGCAAACCTGTCCGCTGCCATCAAAGAGGGTCTCGGTGCGACTTGGCTTAGGAACTATATGCCATTGCCTTGGAGCTCGTTTCATGGCCGGGCCAAACGCATTGAGTTGTTTTTTATGGTTGAGGCGCTTGACAGACTTGGGCTTTGGCCAAGTTTTCAACGTCCCTTGTTGCTTCTCTAGGGCTGTCTTGAGGGCTGGATCGGGACCTGACTCTAAGCCTGCAAGCCCCTAAGCCCAGCGATTCCGCCGAGATCCTGGCCACGGCCAACTCCATGCTGCCCAAGGGAGGAGGAGGTGATGGAGGTGCCAAGACACCGGCCTCTCAGCTCACTTGGTACACAGGGTGTCGCACAGGGTCTTAAAGAGTCTTAACCCAGGCTGGGAGGACTGATGGAGACCGCAATTATTTCGTAGAAGGTCTTTGCGAAGTTGCCCTCGAGCGTGCCAGATACATTAGTAGTTGCAAGGACTAGTTTGCAAGGTTCCTCGAAGTCTGCTGCAAAAATGGCGGGATTCAGACACGGGGGTTAGACATTGTGGCGTCATGCTTATTAGCACCCTTAGCGGCAAAGCGTCGACAGTTGGCGCAGCTTTGCCGTGCGGCATCCAGCTAGGTGGGCGAAACAACTTCTGAGAAACAAAGAAGAGCCTTCAGGGACATCATGGGCATCCTAACAACTAGCAAGAAATCATCAGATCTCACACCACGAGGATGGGCAGGAAGAGACAGTATTACTCTAGACTGCACTGCAAAGTGCATGCGAAGAGGGGGGGAAGGGGGAGGGGGGGTTCTGGGGCCTGAACCGAAGGATCAGATCCTCACAGAGCTGTCGACAAAGTTCCTGACGGAAGTTCGAGATTCGGCTGAGCTTTGAAAGGAAGTGACAGGTCACTGTTGGCTGAGGTGGTGCTACTTGGGGTGGTTTTGGGTCTAGGACTAGGTTCACGGCAGCAGCGAGGCTCGGCAGGGGCGAAGTGTCTGCTAAATTTCGTGCTGGGACCACTCGCGAGAATTCTATGCAATAGTTTGGTTCGGTTGGCTACTTCACTAGTGGTCATCGTAGGGTAGCCCACCTCAAATTTGAGGAACACCTCCTTTCTTCAAGTCGACATAGCCGAGGAGCCCCGTTCGATACCGAATGGCTGGTGGCAAAGTACCCCACCGACTACAATGAGTCCATGATTTCGTGGCCTCATTATATTTTTCTTGATTTTCTGCCTTGTTTTCCAAAGTCTAAAGTGTTTGGACTTCGGGTTGAATCTTTCTGTTACATTCGAGAACATCGTAGGGGTTTTGGGGAGATTTTGGATGTGGGACTCGGGGTTAACCTCATGTATTAAATTAAACACAATCCTGCATGCACCCAATCCTTAGCAGCAATATTCCAACCCCAGTCCTTGAAAAGTCATCAACCTGAACCTCAAACCAAGGAATACCGTGGTGAACCAGGAAGCCCTTCGCTTCAACAAACTGCTTATCCGAGTGCGGGCGAGCTTGGTGGACATCGGCAACCTGTCTGGCACACCGTAATTCGAGCGAATCGCATGGTTGGGGCTTGTGTCTCAAGTAAACTTCTGACTATGGAGCGACTAGCGGTAGAACTTGGATAGAAGTTGGTCCACTGCGACTGCTAGTGTATTGCACAAGCTGCTGATACACGCAGGTTATATTTCGAAAGTTTGATTGTTGATACTGTTGCTAGCAGGCACATGATTACTTATTTCTAGAGAGAGAGAGAGAGAGAGAGAGACACAGATCCGTAAAAGAAAGTTAATATGCATGTGCTTCTTACTTTTTGCTTACTCCTCTGCATCTAGTTTCGTCTGTGCTCATGTGTATCCTTTTTTGTCGTCGTGAGGGCGGGGCGAGGCGGGGGGGGGGGGGGGGGGGGGGGGGGTGAACCCTGCCGACATCTGGGCCAAGCCGTCAGTGTCGCAGGCAAAGCAGTGAAGGGCCTGGTCATCATGGGCCCAGCGCCTTGGCACACGTTCACATGGGTTTGAGGCTGAGATAGGGTTTTTCGAAGCACCTCCTTGTTTCACTGCCTAGGGTTTTTTTGGCTTTTAATTTCCATGTAGGGCACCGCGCTAATGGGGTCAGGTTGCAGGTCACGTGCCATCGAGTGTAGTACGGAAAGCTTTCATATCTTCCACGATGCTGCGAGGATTTGGAAGACGTCGCCAACGGAATCCTGCTGAACAAGCAGCCGCTAGGAAGCAGGTGCTTGGTTTCGTAACGCCATCCACATGGCCAAGTCCTTCTCAACGAAATGGACTCTGGCACAACCCTAGGGTCCACAATTAACCTTTTGAAGCTGCAAGTGCGAGCCGATGGGCATCCCTGCGATCTGAGGCCAGAATTCTGGAAGAAAGTGTCCTATCCGTCCCTGAAGCCCATGTCCTCCTATGTGGCGGACCTGGTTGCAAGGATGCATTTCTTCACTGACTGGATGCCTGTCTGCACTTGCCCTTCCCAAACGAGGAGGCTGAACTCGATTCAACACATCGTTCCTGCTCGTGGTCGAGGGTGGACTAGCTAATTTTCAATGAGCCGTGGTGGTAGCCAGACATACGGCAACTTTGATAGATGACTCCCAAAAGTCCGAAAGCTTGCTGCCAGCTGCCATGGGCATGCTAAAAAGCATAATCTATATACATGTATATATATATATACACATATATATATATATATGTAGAGCATCTTCGGGGTGTTGTTTTTTGCAACATATGTCTTCACGGGGCTTGCGGTGGCTATCTTACAGCCCGCTGTAAGGATGGACAATGGTCATCCTGCGAACTACTGGCTGTCGGGCTTTTTCTTCACGCAGTCCTTCCTCACTGGACAGCTGCAGAACTTTGTCGCGTGGCCTTGTGCTGCTTAAGTGGGCTGCCAATCTCAACCCTGCATGTACTCCGTAGCTCAAGATCTCGTTTTGGAGGTCCACGCGCTTGACACGGAAGTGCCGGGTTAGGTTTGAGGGCAGGGTTCGGGATTTCCCAAGGAGGCATTAAGAGAAAAAAACAGCTTCATTTAAGGCTTGAGGGCTATACAGAGTCCTAACTCAAGGCTCACAGTCGGGAGGTTCATCAAAACTGTCATCAATCTTTCGAAGCTCTATCTTGAGGCTGAAGCCTCCAGAAAGGAGCCTGAACCAAACCTCAAAGCCGAGAAATCCGAAGACCCTAAAAATGGGAGGATACTTACTTTGTGGGCCATCTAGCAGGGAATAGAACATGTGTGAGGTGCATGACAGTGGTACCCCTATATCTTGGAAAGGCCCAAACTGCTCAAAGCCCTCAAAACTCGACAGCGCCTCCACATCCCTAAGCCCCCGACCCGGAACCAGGGCGCCATTAGGCGGGCGGCAACAAAAAACACACCAGGGGTTTGGGGTTTAGGCTTGAGTGTTTATAGGGGTCGTGTGGGGACCTAAACCCTTGCCTGCCTAGAGTGGGAGCGTCGAACTCAGGCCCGGAAGAACAACTTGCCCATTGACACACTGATCTGGACCTTCGAGATCCTGAAGAAGGAGACTGCTAGAGGTTCAGGTCTTTTTGCGATTGAGGCAGTGGAGCTGTCGAGATTGAGGGAGCACGAGTTCGGGATTCGGGAGTTGATAACGTGTAGGGCCCTGGTGATGGTTGAGTGCCTAGAGCATTTGTCATGGAACTTTTGGAGACACCAGATTCTGTGTGCAGGTGGTGGGTTTTTGCAGCGGCATACTGTGCAATCTGGGATTGGGTGTAGGACTCGCCGCTTACACAATGCAAGCAAACCTCAAAAATCCATCAAACATCACTGGGAAAAGCGCATACCAGAAACAGCCCACCAAACAAAAACAACGCGGCCAAACAATTTTCGACGCTTTCGGTAGGGAATTTCACCACCGACAGTGCAAGCAGAGCCTCAAAAAAATCAGCAGCAATCACTGGGAACGCACAAAACAGTCGACTAAAACAAAAGCAACGCTTCACGTTTTTCCGGTGCAGGGAAAATCGCCGCTCACACAATGCAAGCAAAACTGTCGCTTTTGGGCCGTCTCACCTTACTGAAAACCCAAAGAATGGCCTACTGCGTAGCTGACGCTGTAAAGATTCGGGGTTGGGGTTTATGCAAATCTGAACCTCATGCGGAAGAGTCTGAGATGTTGCCTGAGGAGAACAACAATCCGCCCAAGCCCGAGGCCGCGTCCTTGAGCGACAAGGGGTTTGTAGGGTTTGTAGGGTTCGCAGGGTTTAGGGGTTTGTAGGAGTTTTAGGGTTCGAGGCCTGGATGCAAAAGGGTCGAGGCGATGGGTGCTATGTTGGCTTTGGCAGGTTCGAGCTTGTGCCTGCGAGTGTAAAGTGTAGATTTTCATGTCTGGCCTGGGGTACTGGGTCACAGCGGTTTTCTTCAGTTTCATGAATGAGTTCTGGCTTGACTTGCTGCTTCCAGCGCCTAGGAACCGCCCGAACCCTAAGAATCATACAACATGCGCTGCAGAAAGAACCCCTGAGCTGGATAAAAGAAGACAAAGGACCCCCAAGCAACCCTGAGCTTCTGAAAATCCCCCAAAGGCCACACTCGCACCACCAGAAGAGTTCGAAGTAAGTGCCTCGCTGTAAATCTGTCAACTGCTTTCAGTATTCAGACCTTGTAGGGTCTTGTAGGGTTGAGGGATTCCTCTTGGAGGATGGCTGCGTGGTCTACGGCCTCTTCATGGATGGCGCGAGATGGGACAATGACCGGCAGGTCATCCAAGACAGCCTTCCGAAGGCGGCGCTGGGTTCAAGCTTTTCCAAGGAGTCGGTACAGTTACAGGGTCGGAGTATCACAGGAGGTATTTTAAGGTTGCTTTGCCTGCATTAGCCCAACGGATTTGCCGGTGCATCTGTCGTCATGTTTACGACGCACAACTGACGAGAGATGTATCGGGTGGACAACTCAACTGAAGACGCCTCCCAAGGCAAGCAGTGCTGCTGGTAAGGGAGTTTGGGTTGTGTACGACTACAAATCAAAAACTGATGGCAAACATGCGAACTAAGCCTGCAGCTGTAGAAGTCAGCCCTGGGGGTCCGCTGATTGGCTTGATGGGACAGGTGCTTTTCTCGGAGATTCCACACATGCACTGGAAACCATGCGAAAAGGACAAGGACTCCGCCGTGGGTTTTTTGGGAAGGAGGGCCGGTGAAGCAAGAGTTTCTTGTTTCCCCCTGCAGAGCACAGCAGCAATGACCATCATCATGCATCAGATGAGGCACTTCTGTCACGGCAGTATCGAGTATCTAGATGCTGGGTTCATCATTTCTGAATGCCTGATTTGGGAGGATACAACCGACCCGCTCGCCGTGTACCCCTCGCCAATCTACAAGACCTCAGAAAGAAAGGCCGGCGACCCTGTGCTCTGGTCATTAAAAGCGGTCCTCGTGTCATTGTGGGTTGCTGTCAGGTGCGTTTGTTGCTCACACCCACTTCTCTCTCGCAAGCGAATCTCTTGCCCAAGCAATCCTCGATTGCACCTTCCTCTGTTTCCTACCAGTACCTGCTACATGCAACACATGTTTCTTGATCTCGTTGAAGCTTGATCTGAATCAAATATAATGATGCCTGTGAGCTCGAAGACGCATAGTGAACCCTCCAGCCCGAACCACCGCAGCCGAACAGCCTAAATAGGGCCGCCTCCCTGTATTACCCTTATAAGGCAGACTGATTTTGATTCTTTTTTTTTTTGGGGGGGGGGGGGGGGTTCTTCAACAAAGGGTTGGAATGTAGAGAGAAGCGACCATGTGGAGGTCGCTGTTCTCAGGAGGGTTCTCCCACATGTGGTGAGACCCAGTTTCCCCCTGTGTAGGCCAGTGTGAGAGTCGAAGCCTTGCCTGCCGTGCGCGAGTGTGAGAGTCAAAAGCGCCTTCAAATGCCATGTTCGAGTTGCGAGGGAGCAAGTCGCCTTCACCCGCAACTCCATTTTGCCTGCAGGGTGTGCTCAGTACCACTGGCCACTCGACCAACTTCGTCAGCACCATCAAAATCCCCATCGCACGGCGCTTACGCGGGACGTTGGGTCTGCAGGGCCTGGATCAAAAAGCACGGATTGTGAAGCACGTCTACGATGTATGGGCAGATGCCTCTAGACTCTAGACCGCTCCCTTAACCATTCCCAGGAACTAACCAGTGGCTAGTGCTGAATCCTACTTTCCACATTGGCATGCCACCGATGTTCCCCGCTGTTGTGCGATTTGTTTAGCCGTTGCTAAGCAGTGCCGTCCAGACGACGTCCAAACAGCCGGATTGCTGGAAAGATTGCCACAAAAGACTGCTGACAGATAAGCAAAAGGATTGCTGACAGGTAAGGATTAGGATCTCCTCAAGCAGGAATGCCCAAAAACTCCATAGAAGGGTTCTTGACGAGAAGCGAATTAAGGATCCAGTAAACATAAGGGGAGCCCATGCGTCTGAGGCAAAAGAGCATTCTGCAAAGTTCTGGATCAAGCGTGGTGTCGCGTGCCTTTGTGACTTGGCAGACTTGGCAAGCAAGATCTTCTTCACAGCATCGTGAAGTTCCATCCCTGTCACAAGGGCGTTGTGAGTCACGGCGATCTGCTTACGCCAGTGACATGCTGTTTCGGAAGCTGCTTCCTATCGCAAGCTGATAGACACGGGGACTTACACTTGGCGCATGGTGATTGCTGTGAAAAGCAGGCTTAAAGTTAAACCTCACCCCTCTTAGAGACATTGACATTGGGATTTAAAGAAGCATCTTTGCACAATGCCAAGCCGGGCAAATGTTTTCTGTTGTTGCGAGGCCAGCTGGACGACTGATGAGGCTTCCACCTGGCTTTCTCACCTTGCATGCATGAGCTGGGCTGCTCCCCAGCGGGCAGCACCCCCGAGCTTACTGAAAAGGAACATCTTGCTTTCAGACGAATTTCGTGCAAGCAGTTCCAATGTTGGCTTGGAGGGTTTAGAGGGACAGCTGCAACTTCAGAGCAGCACTTTCTTCTGGATCTGGTCCAGCTCTTCGAATTCTTAGTTTGTCGGATGTAGGCTGAACTGCCTGCAGCGGCCAGGGCCTTGCTTGAATGGAGTCGTAGCTCTGTTACATGTTGTACGTCTCGCAGTTGCTTGCAGTATGACTTAGGAGCGTGTTTTGCCAAAGCCGCAAATTAAAGAACCAGGTTGCCGTGTGTTTTTCTCACCCCTCCCGGCGGATGGCAGACGTGATCACGTCTTAGCCTTCGCTGGGGGCGTGTCACACAGAGAGAGCGTTTCAACGGACGTACAGGTTGGGGGAGGGTCTCACTGCATATCAAGTATATCCGTCTATTCCCGATAGCGATAAAAAATGTAAACTTGCTTATGCCCTCAATCACCTCAATCTCCTGCCTTGAAGGTGCGGCAAGGTTCACGACCTCGATTTAACGAAGCTCTAACCAAATGTTGGGAGCCTTTGCTTCGAGGGTTGCTGCAAGTAAATATACACATAATATAAATAAACAAATATAAATATAAATATAATATATATATATATATGATATACAGATATACACATTTTGTAGAGAACCGAAGGGACGCCGCAAAAGAAGACCTCTTTGCCAGCCTTTTGCCTCAGGAAGCCTGAAGCAGTTTAGCCCGGTTTCACAGAATACAGTGCCCCTCCAGTCCTGCAAAGAGTCTTGCAACCAGAATGTCATCCAGCAACCGCGCACAGACACGCCCGCGCCCAACCCAAACAAGCCTTGGCACAACGCTAGCTCCGCTAAAGGCCGAAAATACCTTAGCCCCCTAATTACGGCCCTCGACAGCACCTCAAGGAGGGGAGCTGTTTATTCTTTGCACAAGCATCGAAGCTTTTGGAGGACGATTTGGCAAAAAAAGACACATGCGTTCGACCTCGTTACGGATGATATGTAGGAGACGCAATGTATGTTCTGGTAGTAGTACCTGCTCTTGAGTGCTGTGAGGGTACCCGACAAGGATTTGTGTTCAAGAAATCGGAACTGATATTGAAGTCTTGGGCTGCGTGAATACCGATGGGTGGGGTGCTGACCACAGGTGTCATACAGGTTCCGAGCCATTAGGTTTCGAGGCTGAGCAGCTAGCACGATCTTGTCATGGTGCTTGCTGCGCTTGATCATGGCGGACCCCAGCCCCCCACGAAGTATGGCGGAGTTCCGGATGGCCATTCGCGAACCTGAACGTGTGGTCCTTCCAAGCAGGTCATGGAGCCCCAACGCTAGTGCCCCGCCCCAAAATTTTCTTGGTGCTGCACAGTCCTGAATAGCTGAACATATAGGGTTTGCGGGGAAGGCTCTGAGCGGGAAACTATGAACCCGAACCGCTTATCAGAATGAGGGGTCCTGCAAGGGACGAGTGAGTCTAAAGACAGTTATGAAGGGGTAGCTTCCGGAAGGGGGAACAAAGATGTCAAAACCTCTATTCTGGTCTTCTGGGGATTTCTTTTGCTCCCGCCGGCCGAAGTGGTTCGAAACCACTCAGCCCGCCTTCCATCTTTCATGCCGGCAGCCTGGGCGCAGGCCCTTGCAGTAGCACCCTATGCAATCCTACCGCCTGGGTTGGTGGCCAAAGTCTTTCGTGTGGTCTTCGGCGTAAGTTTGGGGGTCTCAGATGGGTTTTGGAGCAGAAACGGGGCCTTTAAGATGAACAGATGAACCACCCAAGTCAGCAAACTCGGAGCAAAAGCCCCCAAGCCCGATGCCCTCCTTCTCGGAGTGCGTGGGATGCAGGGGAGGCGTTTTGACGCCGGAAAACCTCGGAGCCCAGGGCCGTTCTTGTTGTTATAGGAGTTTTGGGTTATAGAGGGGAATTTCGTGGAAGAGTTCAGGCTCTTGGGCGAGTTTAGAGTTTAGCACCTGTTGGGGTTGAGGCTCTAGGCCCCATGTCAAAATCCAACCGAAAGCTACAAGCTACAAGCCCTTGTAAAGCGAGAAAGTTACCTCGACATTGCCATAACCCTCAACCCTATTTCAGAGATCGCCCAAAAATCTGGGCATTGATCCACAATGTCTGTGTGTCTATCAAACATAGTAATGGTAAATAGTATATGCCATTGTATGTGTATATATATATTGTGTTTATGTAGTACTTAGTAATTTTCACACTTGAATCCTAATTCTCAAGCCGAAACCGAAAGCCGCAAACTAATGATTGGGACATGTGCCAGGCTCCCACACAACCTTCCGATTCGGAAACTTCCGCTTCAATTTAGCTTTTGCGCCTTGGCCTAGAGTTTAGGAGCCTTGGGCAGTGGAGAGTGGGGGCTGTGGCAGCTGAAGGTATATGGCTTCTCGGTGAAATTTGCTCCAGAGGAAAGCACATGACCCCAAGCCGCCTTAAAGTGGATGATTCAAGTTCACGGTGCAACATCCTGAAGCCTCCAGCGACTTGAGCTGAGATTTTCCTGTTCGACTTGTTTATTTAGATTGGGTGGAGGTTGTGTTCAGGGGAAGCTCGCATCCCCCCCCCCCCCCCCAACCGACCTAACCAAAGAACCTCACCTTTTTGTTGCTCTACCCACCAAACCCGAAGCCTTGCAAGCTGCTGCTCAAGGTATGGTTACCAAACCACGGAAGTTGCTTTTCGTGGCTTCCCTCGCTGTCCTTGCCGTGCTGCCTCGGGCAATCGTCCATCACCAGGGCCGCTGTGCGCATACATCAGCTGGGCTTGTAGTACTGAAGGGCATGTGCAACGGTGGGCAAGGACATAATTCAACTGGATGTCCAGCTTCAGTACTTAGCCAGGAAGGTATCTAAAGCTAGCTTGTGCCTCTGCACTCTTTGTGCAATTAAGGAGAAAATCAGACAACCAGGCCACCTCGTTGCATTCCCTGGCCAGGAGTTCGATGCAGATGTCTGAGGGTTGCGTGGGGTCATGATACCCATGATGGCACTGCAGAAGCTGTACATTTAGATATACACCTTCTGTTGCCTGAACAGTATTGAACCGCGATTCCGGCACACAGAGCAGATCCCACTCCGTGCGCCAGGGATAGCTGGACTCCGGAAAGCGTGCCGAATCCTGCGACGAATCCCAAGCAATGTGGCTGGCGACCGAGCCGTCTTTTGTTTGAGAGCGTGAAGAGGGTGAGTGCACGGTGTGCCAACATGTACCAACATGCAACGTCGGGGTTTCAAATGCCTTGAGCGAGAGAGAGCGAGAGAGAGAGGAATGTAGGGGTTCCTCAAGCCCCGTAGAGGAAGAAGAAGAAGAAGAGGAATGTGAGTTCCAGCAGCGAGCACAACTGAAGGGATAGACAGCTGATAGCTGTAGGCAGACTCCTGGGAGAAGGGAACTGATAGGCGAGATAAGTTGAGGGGGAAGGGGAGGTCTTCCGGAGGATTGAATGGCATTACAGGTTAGGGGGAGGGGAGGTTGAGGGTGCCAGTGCCGAGCTCAGTTGAGGGTTCACAAAGGGTTCACAAAGGCCAGCTAAGGGAACTAAAATTGCAGGCTAGAAGTTTCGCAATGCCCTGCTGAAGATGTAGGAGCATGGGGTCTCGTGTGATAGATGCGGTCCCACTAACGGGGGTTTAGCTTGCTGAGGGTAACGGGGCAGAGCATCCATATC